AGGACGAGGAGTGGGCTGGGCTGACTCAGGTGCCCAAGGTGGGCGAGCCGGGTCTTGCCGCGCGGATCCTCGCGACGGTGCTGCGGGGTCACCTGGACTTGAGACTCTTGGAGGCTTCTCCCTGGGGACGTTCCTACAGGGTAGAAGCGGCGACACGGTGCCTGCCAGCTCACCTTGCAGTCTAAAAGACTGGGAGGATTGTTTTTAGGATCATAAAGGCCTACTTAGCCTCACTAGCTCAGGGGAGGGACACGTCTTACAGCATTTAATTGCTGTGCAACCACCCAACTGCTGGGTAAGAGAATCCTTAAGGTGCGAGAGGCTGTGAGCGTTCAGATGTGTTTCTTGAGTGTTTCGGTTTTTCAAACTTGAAAACTGCATTTGATGGTGTTCAATGTAAGAAGCTGTGATGTTTGAGATAATGGGATGGGATTACAAAACAATGTAACAGCATTTCCTTATGTGGAAAAAAGAGAAGTAGAGGTGTGAGGAAAAATGAAGGATACACCATCTCCTCCTTTGGGGCGGGATTACTTCTTATCAACATAAGTGTAAATTGTGGAGAACACTGAGGTTCACAGTTACTGTTGTCACCATGGGTGAAAATTGTATCCTTTTGATTTGAGTAGATTGTGGTTTGAAGTTTAAATGCTGTAGTTTCCGTAACAAATTGAACTTTTTTCACTGTTACTTTTTTGTTACTACGCCTTAGCTTGCAGTCATCCCTAGCACAATACTCTATTTTTTCGGAGAAATAGTGTGCTTAAATTGTTAAGTTATAATGAAAGTGATTTGAGTGAAGGGTTATAATTATGAAAAATCTATTGCTTTTTCTCAGACATCTCTGGAGATACATAATATTAGCATCTCTAATCACAAAATTCTGCCATCTGTTTATTTACACTAGGCCCAGGGACACATCTTAGTCCTCTGAACGTTTACTGTGTATCCTACCTAGGTCAAAATACTAGGTAATTCTGTAATCCCTTATGTATATCTTTACATCTTTACCGGATTTGGGATATTTAAATAATGGATTTCACTTACTAATAAAAAACCATAACATTATTACTGTTATAGTGAGTTCTCTTTAACATTCATAGTTTTGTCTTGCATCAAGCTATATTTCCTTCTTTAAATGTATGACCAGACCAGTCCAGTAACTTACTTGAAAATTTGTTTTTCTTTCCCAGGGATGAAGAAAAGGGGGTGAAGAAATGTGTGTTTGTTCTGTAGGTCTTGCCATTTAGTAGAGTTGTTAAAGTTGTTTAGCTTAGTGAGACTAGTTCTGTAGTAGCTGTTGAGAAAGTCAATGATGATACAGTAATCAGAAGTTTCTTAAGACAAATAAACATATTGATAGGTCTTATAACTGGAGTGACCCCCTTCCCCTGTCATATGTATCTTGTCTCATCAAAATTGAAAACATAATAATAGTTACACTGAAATATTATCAGTTGTGGATAATTAAGAAGTCTATTTGTCTTTTCCTGGATGGCTGTGAGTCTAACCCTGCAAGGACTCTGCTTGTGAATAAGCCTTTATTCCCCAAGCGAAAAAGGCCTCCAGTCTCTGCTGCCATTTCCTGCAGCTACTGCCATAAATATAGGTTGCAGATCTCCTACTTCCCTTTCCAAGTCACAGCTGGAGAACCCGGGGGAAACAGGGCAGGATGTAGTCAAGGATATTTTGTTTTTATGTGTCCTTGTTTTCATGTACTATTACATACAATTGTACTTTCATTTTCCATATTAGAAAAATTAAATGGAAACAAAGTAGAGCTCTGAACCCATGAAATTTCATTAACTCAGCTTCTTGTAAAATCTTATTATTAGTTTGGTGACTCATCTTTTTTTAACAGACAACTTCAGACAATATAATCAAACTTTAGAATCTTTCGTCAGTTGACAGAATGACTTATTAAAAGATGACTCAGTAACTGAAATAATGTATGTTCTGGAAGTTGCCCAGAATCCCTTCTTAGTTTGATTTTTTGTTGACAGATCTTTCTGAAAGAATCCATTTGTGGTGTTTTTAAGTAATAAACTCGGGATGGTCTATCTGAACTGAGATTCGTTCAGATTGGATTGGTTTGGATTAATGATATATTCAGCATATTTGAAAAATGGCTTGAGTGGTAAATATTTTCCCTGTTGCTGTAGACATTGCTCTTCTATTTATACTGCTGAAGATACTTTCTTATTCCTTTGATGAATGTCTCCCTTGTTATTTTTACAGATCTTCCCATTTCTCTGGACAGGTTATATTTTATAGGGTTAAAAACTAGGGTCAGTTATTCATTCAAGAAATATTTTTTGAGTACCCATCAACTTCAAGATAAAGTACTAAAATTAACAACACTACATGTCTCCTCAGACATGCCACAGAAAATTCATTTATGCATTGATGCAGCTGACATTCCAGGCATTGGGCTTAAAAGATCAAGAAGTAAAATTATGCAGTGCAGAGGGAGGGCAGACTCCTTCTGTCCTGGGATAATTAGGAAAGGTAAGTTAGGTATTGATAGATGAATAGAAACTTGCAGTAGGAGAAAGGGATTCTAAGGCAGTGAGTGACAGAAGGTAACTCCAGTTTGTAAGGTGAAGGGTGTTCAGGAAATACTGAGACAAGGGAGGTAGGGGTGTGGTGTGGTGTGGTTTGTGTGTGTGTGTGTGTGTGTGTGTGTGTGTGTGTGTGTTTGTAGGGAGCAGGGCCTCAAGGCAAGTCTTGGAGATATAGGAGTTTGAGGAAATTTTGAGAAAGCTTTTGTAGATCATGTATAAAGGAACTGATGTCTTTTCCCTAGTAGGCTCAAGTGAGTCATATGACCAATGTTAGTGTGAAGAATGGCCTTGAGTGGGGATTAGAGATACACAGTCTTGTCATTGTCATTGACATCTGTTCTTGTCATTTGGTAATCCCTCCAAAATTGTTGTTGATTGATTAACCTAGCAGGTAAAAATCTTAAACTAATTTAATAGGGACAGAAAAGTCAGAGAATTTGGGGAGACATTTTGGAAAAAGAATTTGGTTACTAAGAAGTTAATTCATGTCTGTGAAGTTGGGAAAGTTGGTGATTAATGATATATTAACTTCAGCAAAGAAAACTGTTGGACCCTTTCGGGGAGAAAAAAATAATATATTAACTTTAAGTATATATTAAGGAGAGAAGGAATAAATTTTTAAGTATGTTAGGCTGGATCTAGTGGTACTGGTCTGTAACCCCAGCTACCATAGAGACCACTCCAGGAGGATTGCTAGTTCAAGACAAGCTAGAGGCAACTTAGATTCTTGTCTCAAAATTTACAAAAACAAAAAACAGGGCTGAGGATATGCTGAGTGCCTGACTAGCATACAGAAGGCTTGGGGTTCAATCCCTAGTATTTCAAAAAGGAGGAAAAAAAGGTATAGATTAAAGCTAGGTATTATAGCACATACCTGTAATCTCAGGAGTTGGGAGATGGGCAGGAGAATCAGGAATTCAGGATAAACTTGACGACAGACTTGACTTGACTACCCTATCTGAAAAAGCCAGAAATAAGCACAGCTGAAACAGCAAAAAAGGCATTATCAAGGTATCCTGTGAAGATATCAGAAGGCAACCACTATTAACTGTAAATATGAATAAGTAACTGAGCAGGAAGTCACAACTAGTTTTAGCACTTTAGAAATGATTGCTTTATGTGGATAATAAATTAGACCTGGGATGGATGACATCTCTCAACTGTACATCTCTCAGTAGTTGGGTGGTCTGAGCAGGTTGCCTGTTGTCTTTGCACCTGTTTTCTCATCTGTAGAAGGTTATTTTGAAGATTACCTTAAGTTTCTATCTCAGAAAAAAAAAAAAACAAGATTTACCATAAGTTTGATTAACTACTTAGAAGAATGGCAGTTGCTTTGAATTTAAGTGGATTAGTAGGACAGGAGGGACATGGTATGATAGGTGGTACATACTTGTGATTCTGGTGTTGGGTTGCAGAGCAGAAAGGGTGTGAGTTTGAAGTCAGCTTGGTCTATATGGCAAGTTGCCCAAGCCTTTCAAAGTAGATGAGACGGAGTCATATTAGAAAGAGTGATAGCAGACTACAATGAGAGATTACAAAAAGTGACTTCGGAAGGTTATATTTATTATTCATGATGCCTACAACCAGTTCTGTCACCCTACAGTGTGGACTTACACCCATCCTCTTGGGTCTGTGCTTATTTTGTGAATCTGAAAATTTGAAGAAAGGCATTTACTGGGGAGTGAGGAAACACACACATAGCAACAGATACCTAGACAGAAAGGCTCTCTTCAAAAAAAAAAAAAAAGAAAGAAAGAAAGAAAAAAGAAAAGAAATCCCTCTAAGATGTATTGAAACTCAACTGAAAAATTAAGAAAAACTTTGAGCTATCTTCTGTTGTCCTCATTTCTTGGAACTGAAATAAGAAAGAAATGAGGTGAAAGAGTTGGGCTAGGGTGATATTTAAAGACCATTCATGCTTTAAAAAATCTAATGATTTGATTCTGTTAAAGCATATAAAAGATACTATTTAATTCTGTTACTTTTCCTTTGGAACCTAAAACATCAGATATTTTTCAGAAATAAAGTATATTCTCTCATGAA